GGGTTTCACCATGTTGACCAGGATGGTCTCGATCTCTTGACCTCGTGATCCACCCGCCTCGGCCTCCCAAAGTGCTGGGATTACAGGCTTGAGCCACCGCGCCCGGCCCTGTTTTTGTTTTTTTTTTGAGACAAAGTCTGGCTCTTTCATCCAGGCTGGAGTGCAGTGAGGCCATCTCTGCTCACTGCAACCTCCACCTCCTGGGTTCAAGCGTTTCTCCTGCCTCAGCCTCCCGAGTAGCTGGGATTACAAGATGCCCGCTACCATACCTGGATAATTTTTGTATTTTTAGTAGAGAAAGGGTTTCCCCATGTTGGCCAGGCTGGTCTCAAACTCCTGACCTCGAGTGATCTGCCTGCCTTGGCCTCCCAAAGTGCTGGGATTACAGGGGTAAGCCAACACACCTGGCCAGCCCAGCCAATTTTTTGTATTTTTAATAGAGACAGGATTTCACTGTGTTGGCCAGGCTGGTATTGAACTCATGACCTCAAGTGATCTGCCTGCCTCAGCCTCCCAAAGTGCTGGGATCACAGGCACAGGTCGCCACACCCTGCCAAGGGTTCATATTGTGAATGATAAGAAGACTGGCAAACTCTTAGCAGATACCCTGAAAAAAAAAACCAAAACATCAAAAAACCACGAAGCATGACATTCAAATATCTAAAATTAGAAATGGAAAAGAGGGCATTACAAATGAATGGTTACAGGCAGGGCGCAGTGGCTCAGGCCTGTAATCCAGCACTTTAAAGAGGCCAATTTGGGCAGATCACTTGAGGTCAGGAGTTTAAGACCAGCCTGGCCCACATGGCAAAATAATCTCTATTAAAAATACAAAAATTGCCAGACGTGGTGGCTCACGCCTGTAATCCCAGCACTTTGGGAGGCCAAGGCAGATGGATCACAAGGTCAGAAGTTCACCAGCCTGGCCAAGATGGTGAAACCCGTCTCTACTAAAAACACAAAAATTAGCCGGTGGCAGGCCCCTGTAATCCCAGCTACTCGGGAGGCTGCGGCAAGAAACTCACTTGAACCTGGGTGGCAGAGATTGCAGTGAGCTGAGATTGTGCCACTGCACTCCAGCCTGGGCAACAGAATGAGACTCCGTCTCAAAAAATGAAAATGAAAATAAAACGCACTAATGAATGTTTACAAATGAAAATGAGTTGAAGAAAATGAGATGAATAATTGTGTGACAAGACAAAACATGATAATCAAAAAAAATATGAATAAATTTCTAGATAGACACCACTTACCAAGACTTAAGCATGAAGATGCAGAAACTCTATACACACCAGTAACAAATAAGGAGACTTATCACATACCAAAAACCTACCAACTAAAATAACAATGGACCGGATGACCTGACTGTAAAATTCTAACAGACACTGAAAAAACATTTAACACTAGTACTCCTAAAAATCTTCCATGAGTGTGACGAGAACGCTTCCAAACTCATTTAATACGAGTAGAGCTACCTTGAAAGCAAAGGCAAAGGCCCTACAAGAAAACTGCATAAGAGTATTTCTGATTAACCGAATGCAAAAATCCTCAACAAAATGCTAGCAAAAGAAATTCATTAGCATGTTAAAATGGATCACACACCATGACAAAGCAGAATTTATTCTAGGAATGCAAGGATCACGCGACTTATGAACATGAATCCATGTGATACCTGCCAATAAGAGAATAAAGAGAAAAAAACCCACACAATGATCTTGGCTAATACAGAAAAACATTTGAAAAACTTCAACAATCACTTACGATAAAAACACTCAACACACTAGGAATATAAGGCATCTACTTAATAGCGGCCATATATAAAACGCCACCAGGTAACATCATATTAAAGAATGACGAGTTTTCCTCCATAATTAGGGGGAAAAAGGAACACAGAAATCCTACTTGCATTATTTCTATTCAGAATACAGCTGTTCCTTGGTTTCCAGGGAGGACTGGTTCCAGAACTCCCATGTAGTGTTATAATACACAGAGATACAGGCCGAGCACGGTGGCTCACGCCTGTGATCCCAGCACTTTGAGACGCTGAGGTGGGCAGATCACAAGGTCAGGAGATAGCATCCTGGCTAACATGGTGAAACCCGTCTCTACTAAAAATACAAAAAATTAGCCAGGCATGGTGGTGCACGCCTGTAATCCCAGCTACTCAGGAGGCTGAGGCAGAGAATCACTTGAACTCAGGAGGCAGAGACTACAGTGAGCCAAGATCGCGCCACTACACTCCCGCCTGGGCAACAGAGTGAGACTCTATCTCAAAAAA